CACCGCCCTTCTTCAGATTACTAAACTGGCTACTTTTTTGTTTGGTACCATCAATCAAACTGGATCAAACCACATGACACAGTCCCAATAGAGCCGGAAAACAATAAATAAACCACTACTTACATTGTACAGTTAGATATAACTTTTTAAACATTTATTTGACTGTTGCCTGGTCTTTGAAGCATTTCCACAGGGATGAAATGATGCAGCTCTGTCAAGATTGAACAATTAAATTCAACTTATAAATGCCATATTTGCTGATACTGAAGAGGCTAGAAGTGGAGAATGAGTAGGGTTTGTCTGTAGGGAATCCCAAACACCCTACACTTCCTAATTTTCTGTCAATTCACTAATTGGTTAATTAATTGTTTCAGCACTAATGAGCTGACTAATGAATTTTGCTTACAAAGTTGCTCTGTGTTGCTTTTTTCATCAAAAAAAGAGGTGTATGATATACAGATGTGACATGATATTTTAGTTTATTTTTCTACAAACCAACACATCGGCTGTAAGGAAACATAAAGATACTCTCTTTCCAAATCCCGGGCTGGAAGCATAAAAATATATATACTTTGATGAATAAGATACTGAATGTCAGACATGAAATGAGTAAATCTTAGACCCTTGAAACCTCTCCAAGTGCCACGAAGAGCCAAACGACTTGGAAACCTTTCTCCACACCGTATCATACAGATGGTTTATGGTTTATGCTTCAAAGCAGTGCAGAGGTTTCGGACGGCGCCAGGCATCGGGGGGACGGTACTCCACCGGCATGGGAGTTGTTGAGACATGTGTGAAGCTGCGTTCTGCAGGTCATGAATCGTCATCTTCCCTGCCTCACTGGCTCGGAAGAGGACCACTGGGTGACACTAATTTTGGATTGTCGGCTGCACCGCTGAGTGGTCACGGGTGACCGATTGTCCTGATTCAGCTCCATGATCAAAGGGGGGAAAGTGAGCAGAAACAGAAAAGGGACTTACCAAATCTCATGGTTAATTCCAGTAACTTTGTTCAGAGCTAAGCAGGCACATCTTTACTTGCTTTTGCCCCCTTTTTTTTGGCAGATTGGTGTACTAGTTGTAGATTTTGCATAATGAAGGCGTTTCAGGCTGGCCTTTACTCTGCTTATGCCTTACTGTAGTTTAAACCTCTGATGGATAAAGCTTGCAGAGGTACCTGAAGAAAAGCTTTTGCATCTTTTTTTATTTAGACGGCAAATAATGTTCCTCGTGTATCTTGCGGTGCAGTGCCTATATAGGCAAGGCACTTGGATGAACTGAGAATGGATGGCATCCTCCCGAGTTCTACATAGATGTTTATACAGAGACATGCTTGGTCACTCAAGGGCTTATAGCTGATTAGGACACAAATCTAAATCCTGCTATAGTGCAGACTGCAGCTTAGTGGGTGAGACTTGTAGCATTAGGCGTTTCTCAGACGGTGAATCTCTTTACGAGTCTATAAAGAAGAGAAGGATCGTAATCAGGGACGCTTCTGGGCGTGTCCGTTGGCACTCATCCCTCCCCGCATTAATYTGCCAGTCTGGACAGGTGTGTACAATTTTCTAAAAGTGATGAGATGTGATTGAGATGGCTTGTGGCACCAAAGGGGAAAAAAAACAAGCCAGTGTGGGGTGCAGTGCTGAGAGTTGAGAGTCAGGGTTACAAGAGAGTGTGTCACTGATTGCATCTAAGCCCTTCAGGGAAACAGAATCATATCAAGCAACTTTGAGGGGTAAGGGGGGGAAGTTTAATAGGTGTGGAAGAGCTTACAATTTTCATTATCCCTGCATCCTGTACTGCACCGGTGGCTGCTTCAGGTTCTGGAGTCTCTGGGGTTGGTGCTATCTTGCAGTGTGACGCTACACTATCCCGGCTTCATTGAAATGTTTTGATGCTTGATGTGAAACAAAGTAGATCTCATTTGGGAAAAAAAAGGAGTCTGATACTCCAGTTTTACAGCTCAGCCAAGAGAGAAATGAAATTTTGGTGCGTTGTGAGCGAGTGTGTGTGTCAGGAGGCAGTGGAAAATGGCTGGTAATAAACACTTCTGACACACCACGGCTCCTCTTCACTTTCTACTTTTTTCTTATTTTTTCTCTCTCTTTTTTATTTTGAGGGAAAAATTGGTCACATTCTTATCCTCCTGGTCCCCATTTCGCAGCGCAACGAGAGAGTCAGCTTTGAATGTTTAACAGATAATGGTCTTAAACACTGATGTGTCTGATGCTTGTGTGCCTGCAGTCAAAAAAATACGTATGCCTCGGGCCAGGATGATTACTCTGAAACAATTTTTTTGATCTCAACGTGTGTTTCACCAGTCGAAATTTTTGAAACAAATGTAAACAGATTTGCACATTCAACTGTTTCCCACTCAACTTCGGTGGAACATGTAGTACAAGGTTAACTTGTCACTGCTCAGAAAGAGTTTACAGCTAAATAGACATTGTTTCTGAACTTATCTAGAATTATGAAACATTTGCAATGCTTTATATGTCAGAATTAATCTGTCTTCCATCACTCGCTTACAACTTGTACAAAACTCTGCCGCTCGCTTTTTAACTAATACACATAAATATGAACATATCACCCCTGTCCTCTCTTCTTTGCACTGGCTCCCGGTTGAGTTTAGAATACAATTTAAGCTGTTGTATTTGTTTTTAAAGCCTTGAATAACCTTGCACCACCCTACATTTTGGATCTCTTGAAAATCCACCAACCTTGCAGAGCTTTGCGGTCTACCAGTCAATGGGGGAACTGGTCCTTTTCTGTTGCTGGCCCAATAGCGTGGAATAGTCTTCCCTACGAGTTGCATGCCCTCTCTGATCTGGTCCTGTTCAAAGCTGAACAGAAGACCTACTTATTCAAAAGGGCATGTGATGTTTAAATGTTAGCCTTTTATATTTTTTAACTTTCTTTTATTGTAATTGTGTTTTTAACTTGTACTGATTTATTATGACCTGATTGTATTTGTTTTACCTCGTGAAGAACGTTGATCGATTCAAGGCATTGTTGGAAGGTGCTATAT